ACTTTGTCCAGGCACTGAACCAAAAGGAGAAAGAGGGTACCTGTTTTGGCAGTGATGAGTTGTAAGACCAATGGCCGTCTTGTTACAATTCCAGAACCTCGTGGAAGAAAATCCCTGGAAACATTGGAGAAAAAAAAAAAAAGTTACTACCCAGCAAGCACTGTCTAATTACATAAGATATTGGACTAATTTGGAACCTTCTCTATACCTCCAGCTGCAATGAAAAGGGAAAGTTGGTGGGGACAGATTTACATCAAACACTAATATAAAGTAGGCCTGTTAATTTTGGTTCACAATAGTAGTAGGTCATTAGACAAATACATATTAAAACTAAATTACCATCTCCAGGCATTATAAATTCTCTTTCTTCATGACCATCACATATAACATTTCAAAACTCACCTGGCATAGTAAGAGTACCTGAAGCCATGCCCACATTTATCGGTCTCTCTAAATAAATGTGTCCTCACCCTATACTTGATGTGAAGAGTATATAGGCCTATGAATACACACACTCTCACACACCACACCAAAGCCTTGGCCAAAGCAAACTGCCAGCACTCTGCCCCTACTCTTTCGCACACTTAACTTCTGCCAGTTCAAACTCCCAAATAACTTTTCCAGTAACACATCTGCCAGAAGATTTTGAGTCAAAGCTGAACACTAGAAGTACTCTGGGACAGCAGGGGGAGCGCCCTTGGATCACAAAGCAAGCAATGAAGCAAACAGAGCAACTTCGTCGTATCATTATGCACCCCCATGATCCTTTCCATGTCTCCAAAGACAGGGAGACTCCCTATGCAACTGAAACCCTAGAAAACCTTTGAACCAATTGTTAGTTGCAAAAACAATTATCAGAAACCCAGAGCAAAATAACACACTTTTTTTTTTCCAGGGTCTTCCCCCGTTGCCATACCTATTAAACTCTTATAAACCTCAAGATGAGGTTCAGTGAGAGGCTTTGAAGAGTGCTCCCCTCAAACAAACATCTTCAGCAGAAAAAAATTCAGAGGTAAACAGTTTCACAATCCTACTTTTTCCTGCCTTAGCAGGGATGCCGAATCACCTTCTTGCCTGTCTTAGCAGCATTGCTAACTCACCTGTCCGGCTCAGGTGAAAAGCAATCCAGCAAATGGTTAGGGGATGAATCTTCAGTCAAATTGTGGAGCTGATCTGGGTGACCCTGTTGACAGATGCACTAGTGCCAGTACAAGGGTGAGGCAGGAATGTGCAGTGTGTTTGGAGGGGTGGGGAGAAGGACGAAAGAGTCAACGGAAGAAAGATACAGTCCTGTCAGCCCTTTAGACAGAACTGCTTAGATGGGGCTGCTCAAGCCACCGGAGAAACCACTTCTTACCTACAATCATTGCATATCTTCATACCGACCTTGTGCTACTTAACAGATGCCTGATGTTAGCAGTTTCTCTAAGGCAGCACACAAACCTACAAGGTTTAAAACAATCCTGGAAGGTACATCTATGAAAAATAAACCAAACAAATTTTTCATCAAACTTCAGGATATTTCTGCGAATCAGAGGATATTAGGTCTGAGGAACAGGACTGGCTGTCAGCTGTGCCCCACACCACTTTAGAACTCCCCAGCATTTTGAATGAAACAATGTTAACTTCTAGCTAAAATAAAACTCTCGCTTTCTCAATACCTGTTAATATGTGCTTACAGCATGATTACTCTGCAAACTAAAGCTAAAGCACACCACAAAAAAAAAGAGGCTGTTCAAACACAAGCTAGCTCGTTAACTTCCACACTCAAAAACAGATCTGCAGGCAAAAGTACAATTAATTAGGAATTCAAGTAATCTCTAAAACAAAGATAATGCAAAAACATCAGGCTACTGATTTAAATCTGCTGCAATGTTTTACAACACTTGAGACAGCAACAGGATACAAGTAGTAGTTTAAAGAGGTACTAAAAGCTTTCAAAATTTCAGTACCTACCAATGGAAAGAAACCTCTGTCTCAGTGAAGTGCCATATACTGATACTTTCTCATGGGGAAGAGAAGAAAATTTGTATAGGAACATACTCATTCCTCTGTATGCACTGAAATGACAGTAGCCCAGGATGTAGAAAATCCTCACCAAGATTACAATTTCATATATTGATTTTCAAGCATTTCATATCTGATTTTAAAACGAATCAATAAATCATTTTCCCCCAACAAGAAGCTAAAGAGAATTGCCATTCAGGACAAACTGATCACACAAAACAAACTAAGGTCCTCTATAGCACCACATGAGGCAGTAAAATCCTTCTTCAGGGAGTCAAAGGCTGAAAAGACTTATTGATTTTCTGCTTCAGACTAAGCACATTCAGAGATAAAGAACACTGCATTAACGTAACCCCTAGTTATGCAACGCTGACCTTTCCTCAGCAGCAAAATGACAAAAAAAATGTAAGACAACAATTTTCCTTCAGAACGTCCTCTTAACATGCCCAAAATAGATGCCATTCGATAAGCCTCTCTAGTAAGTTCACTGTTGTCAAAAAGCCCATCATCTGCTCAAGCAAGCATCAGCTGAGAGAGGTTCCCGTTCAGCGAGAGGGTGAGCTGTGTTGATCACATAACCATCTAAACAGTGTGCAGCAGGACATAAGGTCTCTGCTTCAAAGACACAGTCTGAAGAGGAAAAAATGACGAAGAATGAGGGTAACCAGGGGATCATGGGGAGAGTTCAGGAGAAATACCACCCCCACAACTGCTGAATGGGTATTTTACTTCTATGAAAGAGACATTGACCTCAATTAATAAATCTGCTTCCACAGGGACAAGAGATATTTTTTTTTTTTTTTAATATTTGAAATTTCAGCTTCAGCCAAAAGGCAACGGCATCTGTGCACTTTCCCTGCGCAGCCCAAATCAGATGTTAACAAATAAATACATAAACCCTACTTCTATAAAAAGGCAGTTCTTTAAACACACACAGAAATCTAAGTTAAATCTGAGACATAACTTGCACTTTTTTTAGGAAAAAATAGTACCATATTACAATTCTAGCAGCAACGGAGTCAGATGAAATACTGTACAACTGCTTCTGCAGAAATGCCTGCTTTGACATCCACAAGACAGGATGCAGGTCTTCTGCCCCTCCTCTTGGTATGGAAAGCATTCTACACAGGGTTTGTTAGTGATGCTAAAAAAAAAAAAAAAACCACCAACCCAGTGTATTAGGAATGGCCCTGCACCCCCATTTTCCCTAAAACATCTACTTAAATAAAATGAAGGAAAAAAAAAAATTAGCTTCAGCAGCAAGAAATATAATACAAATGAACACAGCCAAGCCACAAAGGTTCCTTCTGACCAAAGGATGATGATGCCCCTCATTGCCCTGGGCACATTTAACATTCTTTTAAGGACAGGTTTGAGGTAGCTGCTTTTCCATACCTTTTGGTCAGTGTCTACAGATACGTTAAGTGAGAGCTGGGAGAAAAATCACATCAGAGTTGAAGCAGCTGCAAAGAAATCTATCTTAGAAAAAAGGACACGCCTGAGAATCAGTGCACGAAGACGCCGACAAGGGAAAGAAAAGGCTGTCTTCTGTGGTGGTGGGAGTGAGCCTGTGAGTACCTGCGTGCACAACTGCAAGACCACAAAGGCAAGGTGCAGGAAACAAGAATGAAACGCATTGTACAAGAATAAAGCTGGGCATGAAAGATATGCTCCTTTAAAGGACAGGCATTAAGAATCAAACTACTTTTACATCTTTATTCCAGAGCATTTTCAGCAAAAGGTACTCTGCTGACAACAGCTATACTAGCTCAGCAGCAATGCTGCTGTGACATGACAGTTTGGAGACCGGCAGCAAAGCCTGTCCAGCGTTGCCTAGCCAATACCGAATGTAACAAATGCAAATAAGATGCAAGCAGCCAAGTCTTCCAGAACATCACTTCAATAACTCTTTAATCTTGGAATGCACTCGTCTGTTAGAATACCATCAAATATTTTCAAGAGCAAAATATTTTCAGGGCCACATAATTTTTACCCTAAAAGCTGTAAAGTTACTCATGTCTTACTGCACAACATAAACTGTACTGTCTTCACTCTCTAACACTGCTCATTTCCAGTGTCACAGATCTGGACAAGTATACCTACTGAAATGGTTGTTTAAAGTGCAGAGGTAACAGATACGAGTTTGAATTTGACTTGCTAAAACCCAGGTCTCAAAAACTGATGTCACAGGATGGTGAAACAAGTTGTCAATGGCCATACCAACACCTTAGCAATTTATAGTAACAGGACAGTTAGGGGGCTGATCTTTGCTGCAGTAGACAACTCGGGGGGGCAGGAAATGAAGTTCATGTTTCTCTATGTTGTGTCTTTCTTTTATCATATCACCCTCTCTGACTGAAGGTCAGAAAGAAAATAAGCTGATAAAGTAATTAGACAATTCGTTAATGGGAAGAGTCCCATGGAAGTGATGGGAACACCCTTTCAAATCTCAGAAAGGCCAGAAACCATAGTGAAATGCTGAAAAGCAAACCAGACAGGGGCTCCTTCAGTGAGGTTATCTCATTATAATGCAGGACTATAGCTTACAAAGAAAAGTACACATATCAAACAAACAAAATATAAACATAATGTGTTCCAAGGAAATTTCCTCATAGGGGAAGAGTTTTCATTTAGGAGCTCTCTAGCACACTGGTAGTATTTTTTATGTTAAAAAAAGACAAAAGAGAAGAATCCTCAGTTTGTGTGAAGAGCGATGATGCATCACCACTTAAAATTGAATCATGATTTCAAGTGTAACTTAAATCTGCTTTACTTTTGTCAGTATAGTACTGAGAAATGTTCTGCACTTTGATCAGTTATATGGTCAGCATTATACAGTATAAATGGTGACTAATTTACATTAATACCAATATAATTCATTCATATAAAACACAGGGGGAATCCAGGAAATCAAATAATGGAGGAAAGTGTCAATGATTACCCAGTAACTGCATTAATTAAAGAGCTAGGAACAAGTAAAACTGATAGTGACGAACCGTCAAAAAACAAAAATACAAATCAGAAGTCACTTCAAAGAAAAAGCCTCCACATTTTTCACAAAGGGTAGAAACAAGACAAGCTCAGGACAAGAGCCATAATTCTCTTACAGAAGAGCACAAATGACCCATATAAATCTATTTAATTTTGCCAAATGGCATCGGTAATGTTACTCCAAGTTTTTCCACTAACCTTCCCTCAAATGCAGAAAGGGATTCTATGGGCTGCTCACCTGAACAACACTGCTGCGGTAGCACTCCACACAGGCCTTTATTCCCAAGATTTGCCTGCACCGTAACTTCAACTGCAATCAGAAGCAGTTATGCCAAAAGTCAACAGTTTTCCTGTGCCTTTTCCAACACAGTGTTTATTGTTTTATACAACTCCAGCCTGGTGCACTAGAAACACTTGTAGCACTCGTGGCTC